GCCATGTGAGCAAGCAGGGTTTTGGAAAGGATTTAGTACGATGGATCACATCCACACGGTAACACGGCTCATTGAAGTATTGCGAGAGTACAAAAGACCACTCTGTCTCACTTTCATCAATTTAAAGAAGGCGTTTGACTCAACTGAGATAAAAGCTGTCATGGAAGCCTTTGACAGTCAAGGAGTCACTACTCAGTACATAAAGATTATTCGTGAGCTGTACAAAAATTTCGCAACCAAGATATTACCATTCTACAACGTTGTTAACATTGACGTCAAGAGAGGAGTTAGGCAAGGCGATACCATCTCGCTAAATTTATTTACCACCACCCTCCAGAACGTGATGAGAACACTGGAATTGGATAATATGGGAGTGGAAATCGACGGCTGGCAGTTACACCATCTTCGCTTTACTGATGATATCGTCCTTATAACACCAAACATTAGCCAAGCGAAACGTATGCTTGACAACTTTGACAAAGCCTATGGGAGGATTGGTTTTCGACTAAATCTCACAAAAACGATGTTCATGAAGAACGGTTGGTTTCGCATGCCCCATTCACGCTCAACGGAACGAATATCTCCGAATGCTCCAGTTATATCTGTCTAGGTCGGTGAATCAATATGATTAACGACTTAGCTCCAGAGTGAGTTGAGCAGAAGAAAAGCATCGAGGGTCTAGTGTAGAGAACAAACAACACCGGGCTCCGTGCCCACCTTTTCGACTCAACAGTGCTTTCTGCCCGAAAATATGCGTCAGAAACCTGGTTGCTACGTAAGCAAGCTAAAAGATCACTCAGCGTTATTAACGCGCAGTCGAAAGGGAGTATCCCGTTTCACAGAATTAAGAGGAGGCATCCGAAGCTCTGACTTTCGTCAACGATGAATAATCAAAGATGCCGTTCAGTACACCAAACAGTCGAAGATAAGTTGCGTCGGACACGTAATGGGTATGAATGACAACCGATTGACAAGAGCCGTTAGTGACTGGAATCCCCGGGATGTTAATCGCATTGCAGGAAGTCCGCCTACTCGATGGTTGCAGTTCTTCACGGAATGTTAGAAGAAAGATATGATGTTCGACGAGTCCCTAGAGCGAGCAGAACCCACTGGGCTACTCTTGCGCGCTACAGGAGAAAACGGAAGGTTTACTGGCGCCCGCTCAGGTCACTCGACAATCAACGGGAATACAGGTGTTACAAGTGATAGTCGACGAATGCACCACCACACATCAAAAATCGATGCAAAGGTACTGGACAAGATAACATGTGATCTCTAGGCATTCCTCCTTGCTATTCATTGCAGATATGCTCGTGTGGCGCAGTGGTCGGAGGGGCCATGCAATACACATAGGATCGATTTCCACACCTCTGACCCACGAAGTCTTCCATCTCTCCGGAGTCGACAAGTTGATACCAGACTTGTCTGGGAGGGTAGTGTCACTGGCTCGATACATCGGTAGGCAACCATGAGTTATTGTAAAGGCCGGATATGGATTCGATCACTTCTAAACGATGCTTAATGAAGTCGAGTATATGGCGCATCACTAAGGAATTGATCGACGCAGAGAGCTTTATCCTTTCATCCTCAATTCATTGCCGAATTTTTGGCATTTGTGCAAAAAGCTTCAATAAGTTTGTGCGCTACTGTTTTGATATCCGGTTTTCCTGAATAAGGAATAAAGTAACACCTTGTGTTTGCTGTAAAAAGAATGTCGAGAATTATTTGATTAATGGCGAGGTTAATAAAAAGTCGGTAGTGGAAATTACTAAAGACCGGCCAGCATCAGGAAATTGTTTGTAGATGCTTTCTTGTTTATTAATATACTTTACACTCTTTATACTTCACTACAGAGTCGTAAAGACGCCGAAGTTTCAACATGGGACGACGATAAGTACTCATCCTCTTGCGGCAGCCCTGTTCCGCGGATATCTGAACCGGCTAGTCCGGCGCTTCCGCACAGATTCGTCCACCGACGTCTATTATTTCCACTTAAAAAGAAATATGCAACAAGTAAGCGAATTTACTGGCTTTTTAGTCATTGTTTCAAATAAGCTCCCTAGCTTCGGTTCTGACCTTCAGGAGTCGGATTTGTCGGAGGAATTTTTCGCTCTAGAACTTATACTGAAACCTTTTCAACCGTATAGCGCACCACAACGAGAAGTCATTGAAATCTATCCTTGTATTGGTTCAACCTTTCCAAGTGTAGAAATGACTTTCCATCTTTCTTAAGTATATGAATTGATAACAATCGCCCACGAGCGATAGAACGATAGAACACATCACTTGACGATCGAGATTATTTCACCACTCGATTAATGGGCTAAATGACTTACTAATGTCCTGAATGAAATTTAGACGAGAACGAATTTTGGCGAGCGTCTTGTGAACAAATCCAAGGACTGCAGGTGTTACATTGGACAATAGACGACGTTTGTCAGTTGTTGGTTTCCATGGGTCTTGATAAATACGTGCCCGAATTCACCATCAACAAAATCACCGGCGCTAAATTTCTGGACTTGGACGGCACCAAGCTAAAGGTAAGATGGGGGTGAAGGTCGGGGTAAGACGGGGTAGGAGATCATATTTTCGGGAAAGCGAGCGTTTGTGAGCTTCCGTGTTAAAGATGTGCTTTCGATCTTAGTGAGAACGTAGAATTCGTGAAGTGTTTGATGCTTTAATGAGAGACGTTTTGTTAAAAATATGAACTCTAACCTATAACTCCGCCTTCAAATTTCGCAGCTTAACCCTTCGGGCTGTAGAACATCGCCATTTTAGTTTGTTTTTAGTTTCACATATAATACCCCGCCGTAAGGAAATAATAGGCAGTAAATAGAAAAGTTGAAATTGAAAAACTTGAGTTTGAACAATCAATGTAGTAACCTGTAGAGGTAAATTGCAATGTATCCTATAACTATGAGAAGTCGTTGCTGATATGATAAGTTTGTGATAGGTAAATGTTTTCTGTTTTAGACCATGGGAATCCAAAATCACTCTGATCGTTCACTGATCAAGAAGAAAGTGAAGATGATCAAAAATCGAATAGAACGGGAACGAAAAGTGTTGGAGAAGCAGAGTCGATCACGTGTCATCGCTTCACAAGGAATGCACATGCAAATGTAGCCAACCGCTCGCCGTCCCATCTCCTTCACTGTCAGCAAGCCATCTCACGTCCACATCGATTTGTACTTATTGTTTATGTTCTTTTTTGTCCTCTATTTTCTTGTTTTGTACGTACACACATCGCTAACTGACGATCGGGTTCGCCACTGACGTTGTTGCCCATCATTTACGTATAGAACAGTTTTTTTTCTTCGTTAGTGAAATACATCATCGTGAGAATTCTCACACAATACCAGAGATCACATATTATTTCACTTACCACTACCAGTTAAACGTTGGCTACTGTAAAAGAAAAGCGTTATATGCTGTTTGCCTCTTGTCATCACTCTATTCATCATCTCTTCCTCTCTTTCTTTCCTTATTTTCATATCATTCATACATTACAACAAACAAGCTTCATTACTATTAAGCATAGTGTACAAGCGCGGTGTTTCAAGAAACATCATATAGCTATATTGATGAAATAAAGCAGTGTATTTAAATACCTTGTATATGTAAAACTTTACATAAACTTTCAAGAAGTAGCATCTTGTTTTACATATCTTACGAAAATTTGAAAAAACATTTGGAGCTCGACAAAGATAAACTGCTCTTATAAAGAGTAAATGAAAAAAAGGATAAGGAATTAAACAACGATAGGTATAACAGGAAATGTAACAGAGGCGAAACCACACATGATCTGGCGCTTTTCGATCTGGCTGGGTTTCGCTTGCGACCCCACATTAACAACAGCACTGTGCATAGCCTTTTTGATCAATATGGCCTTTATTTAAAAGCTTGATCTTCGTTAATACTATAGATATTTCACCAAAAATAAGGCTAATGTTGCATGAAATAGGTGCAAGCTCTGAGGAACGCAAAATCGCCGAAACGTTAGCCATCGACCAACAATGCCAACAACAACAACAACAGAAACCTACGCCAATCTCGCGTCATCTCAAAATGATCAGTTTATAAGAATTGAAAGCATCGAGCATATGAACGCGTTCTCTAGGAAGATTATGTCTGAGATGATATGAAGATTTCTGAGTAGCTTACCTCAGTCTGCGTCTGTAGAATCTGATAAGACCTCCACTTTGCGAAGTCATTCGTAGACGGTGCAGTGTAGAGGCAAATCACACTTCATATGTGAATTCTCAAAACAGCTGTGAAATACCTAGAGGAAAACGAAAGCAGAGGAGAAAAAGAAGGCTAGATTTTGTCTGCAAAACGCAACTGGATCAATTATGGAACATTCGGTATTGGTTAATCTCTGAAAAAATGCGCTATGCACTGGACTTCATCAAGCATCAAAAAGTGATTGATGTATATATGAGCTATACGCTGACTATCATTTGCTTGCCTATGTGAACAATTAGTTTTTTTCCTTCCACATAAGTCGGTTTTCAGAACCCAGAGAGATCAAGGGTCGTGGGGCCGAGGAGGGATGGAATCCGAAACCACACATGTGTTACAGAACAGCAACCGCTGCTCTACACGTTTCCAAAGTACGTGTGTAAGGCTTAATATTTGTGACAGAGTAGCCATTGTGGATTTCAAGTTCAGAAAAGCTGACCATATAACACTGTAATCTTAGAAAGGTCTTCTGTAGTAGTCGCACTACATTGATGCACATCGTACACCAAATGTAACCCACACAACCTCTGTTCACATTTATTTCAATATTTCGATGATATAGAAGTTATAATATGTTAAAAACAATCATAGTAGAAGTGGAGAATTCCTCTGTATCATTGTGTCTCGTTGTCGGATCTCTGCTCTTCGGCTGTTTGTTGTTTGTTAAGTTCGGCTTGTTCTGCTGCCAATTCTTCCCATTTCTTAGTGTTATATCTAAACAATAGTCTAGTAATTGCTTCAATGGAAATGAAAAATGATATGTAATAGTGATAGCACTTTAGACCAAATGACAAGTACGACAAGCACAAAAATCTTGACCTGAGGCCTAACTGATCCCTCGCCTCACTTCTCCAATCCCCTCATCGACACGACCGATAGCCGAACTGGATCACTTGTATCACCTGTAGTCCCGTTGAGCGTCGAGTGACTCGAGCGGGCGCCAGTTAATCTTCCCTTTTTCGCTGTCACATGCAAGAGTACCCCAGTGGGTTTTGCTCGCTCTAGGGACTCCTCGAGCATCATACCCTTCTTCAAGGCTTTTTTTGAAGAAATCTGACCATCGGGTCTGTGGTCTTCCGGCAGTATGTTTGACATCCCGAGAAATCCAGTCAGTAACGGCTCTTCTCCGTCAGTTGTCATGCATGCGAATTACGTGTCCGGCCTACTTTTTCTTCGACTGTTTGGAGCGCAGAACAGCATCTTTGATTTTTTATCGCTGACGCAGATCGGAGCTTCGGATCCCATCTCTTACTTGTGTGGAACGGGATACTCCTAGCACTGTCCTTTCGACTGCGCGTTCGATAACGCTGAGTGACCTTTCATCCTGCTTACGCAGCGACCAGGCTTCTGACGCATAAGTTAAGGCAGGAAGTAACGTTGGGTGGAAAAGGTGGGCACGGAGTTGGGTGTTCTTTGTTTTCATTACTACATCCTCGATGCTCTTAAAAGCTCCCCAAGCCGCTCGTTTCCTTCTGCTCAACTCACTCTGGAACTAGGTTGTTAATCACATTGATTCACCGACCTAGATAGATATAACTGGAGCATTCGGAGATATTCGTTCCGTTGAGCGTGAATGGGGTATGCGAAACCAACCGTTCTTCATGAACATCGTTTTTGTGAGATTTAGTCGAAAACCAATCCTCCCATAGGCTTTGTCAAAGTTGTCAAGCATACGTTTCGCTTGGCTAATGTTTGGTGTTATAAGGACGATATCATCAGCAAAGCGAAGATGGTGTAACTGCCAGCCGTCGATTTCCACTCCCATGTTATCCAATTCCAGTGTTCTCATCACGTTCTGGAGGGTGGTGGTAAATAAATTTAGCGAGATGGTATCGCCTTGCCTAACCCCTCTCTTGACGTCAATGTTAACAACGTTGTAGAATGGTAATATCTTGGTTGCGAAATTTTTGTACAGTTCACGAATAATCTTTATGTACTGAGTAGTGACTCCTTGACTGTCAAAGGCTTCCATGACAGCTTCTATCTCATTTGAGTCAAACGCCTTCTTTAAATTGATGAAAGTGAGACAGAGTGGTCTTTTGTACTCTCGCGATACTTCAATGAGCCGTGTTACCGTGTGGATGTGATCCATCGTACTAAATCCTTTCCAAAACCCTGCTTGCTCACATGGCTGTCCTTCGTCCAGTGTTCTGTCAATCCTGTTTAGGATAACACGAGTGAAAAGCTTGTAGACGACAGACAGTAAGCAGATTGGGCGATAGTTGCCGATATCGTGTAGGTCACCCTTCTTACAACACGGTCTTGTTGTTCTTCTACTGAGTAGAAACTTTGCATTGAGACAAATAACATGTGAAGAGCCGAGCCAGTGTGTTTACAAGGGCTGGTGGAAGGTTCTTGAGGCGTTCTGATCTTATCCTGTCCGGACCTAATGCTGTTCGATTTTTCACCGTCGAAATGGCATATCGGATTTCGGAGGAGAGAACCGGTGGTACAACACATCCAACCTCCCTTATTTCACATGACGGAAGGTCGACGTGGCTATCGAAGAGATCCTAGTAGTATTCGTGAATGCTTTTCTCCATTGCCTTTCTGGAAGCTGTAACTGTTCCGTCTGGGCGCCGGAGAGCAATCATTTTGGTCTTATAATTGGCGAATCTTCGGTGGGCTTTGCGAATGCTTTTTCCAGCCTTTGCATTACCGACCATCACTGCTGCTTTTCCCTCTTTAAGATCTTCTTTTATCGCCTGTCTGCATCGTTTTGCAAGTTCGGACGACAGTTCGCGGTTGCCTGCAGCTCATGCAATTCCACGTTGGCGTATCAGCTCGAGTGTTTCTGGAGACAAACGTCTCCTGGTGACTTTCGAACTCTTAGCTTTCATAGCGCTAACGTGGGGATGTTGAATGAGCCGATCGTATTCTTTGTCGATGTTGCCGACATAGCTGTCTTTCTAACAGCCCACTAATGAATTGAATATGTCCCAGTTAAGGTGGTTCTGAGATTTCGGTTTTGGAATCTAGCGGCTTTTCTCCTTTCCGCGAGAAATAGAGTCTTGCACGAAGGAAACGATGTTCTGATCCCATGTAGATTTTTGGGACAACAGTGACATCGGTTAGGCAAAACATTCCATTTACTATGATGTGGTCTATTTCGTTATGGTACTCTCCATTGGGAGACTCCCGCGTTCAGCGCTGAGGGTGGAGCTTCTGGAATTGCGAGTTACCATGGATTGTCTCGGTTGCCATGGTAAACTCGGATAGCCGCGCACCCTATTCGTTCCATTTTAATCCGTGGTTTCCAATGTGATGTTCTTCAGACGTTTATCTTGGTTCAATCTTGGCGTCGAAATCTCCAATGATGAAGATTGTGTGGTCTTTTCTGCAGAACTTCTCCAAGCCCATATAGAACGCTTCGACTTCTTCTTCGTCATAGTTTGATGTCGGCGCGTAAACGAGGAAGATTGTTAAAGAAGGAAATAATCCACATCTTCTTAATTGTAAACGTCCGATTCGGGTTGTAAGTTGTTCGAATGAATCGATGTTCATGGAGAAACTCGTGTTGACGAGAACGTCGACGCCGCCGACTCCTCCACTGTCGCAAGTTCCGCGGAACAGTTCTTCTCCGGTATCATGGACGGCGTTGAATGGGTGGCGTCGTTTCGTCTCGGCCATGCCGATGACGTCGTACCTTATCCTTCTTGCTTGCATGAACAAGTCTTCTATCGAAGACTCGGATGCAAGTGTACGTGCATTGTAGGTACAGGTCATCACCATAGTTGTTTGAAATCCAGGCAGCTTCCATTGGCTCCGAGATTTTAGCAGCCTCTCCGTACTCGTCCTACCCAATGCAGCAAAATTGGGAGCTCCTACGGGGTTAGGTGAATGAGGCTCCTTTTTTTTTACTCTGTTTAGCATTTTTGATAGCCACGTATGGTTTCTTGGGCTCTGAACGTGGGGGCTGGGTATACTCACGGGAAGCTTGCCAGGTTCTCCCAGATTGAATATAGTGTTTATTTGTTGGAGCCGACTCTTAACCACCTCCCATATACTTCCCAGTCACTTGATTGCAGGCTTTTGGCTGANTATAGTGTTTATTTGTTGGAGCCGACTCTTAACCACCTCCCATATACTTCCCAGTCACTTGATTGCAGGCTTTTGGCTGAGTTGACTCGTAGAATACAATCAGAATAAGCAAGGATGCACCCACACACGCATGCATGAACACGCCTAGCAAATACAGAAAGTATGTGCCAAATCAGCGCAGTAGAAATAGGGAGTCCGTCCCCTCGATCCACCTGCGTATCGAGGAAGCAAAGGTCGCTTTTGGTCCGCGATTAACCACCTATCCTCCACCTGGGGACGCGCCACGTAGCCTCGCGACTAATCGGCTCGAGATTCCTCATGTGAGAGAGATCGGTGGCATGAGCAATCAAACTTAGACTGAACTCTGACGCAACTCACGCCCCTATACTTTGATTTGAATGAATTAGCCATTTAAATGAATTATTCAAGCGGTGCTCGCTGAAGAAGATTCGAAGAAAGCACAACGAGATGACGAACGACTGTGGCCATCAACTCGGATCTCCGCCTCTGATGAAGACGAAGACGTCAAAACGTTAGTCGAATAAAACTTATACAACTAGCTCGTGTAAGCTGAACAATTTAAAGAGATGTAAATGGATTTCTCTAGAAAAAGTTTTGAATTACCGTAGTTCTTTCTATGGTTTTCCACTTCACTGTGGAGAAGGAAAACTTTCATATCTGTCGAATAGCGATTTATAGAATGAATAGAACTGAGAAGGAAAAGGGTCAACTAAGATGTGAAAAGGTTACGCATTTGCATCCGAAGTAAATCTATTGAAGAGTAAACGAATGCCAATTATGGTTGGCCTATGAAAAGGGTAGGAGATGCAGTACCAAGCATTGATCAACACCACTTTGGGGATGCGCCGTGCAATCGGCTCCATTCGTGGTCTCGTAGAGTTAACTAGTGCATATAGGCTTATGCAATATCTTTTATGCTACTCCTCAAGACTATCTAGCACGAAGTTATCCAGTCTGGGAAGACAGAAGACTCGGTGAACCCTGGCGACCAATCTAGTATGCTTTCCAAGGCTGCTTTAACCACTGCGCTACACCTCGCCTCTGGTCGTTACCGGCGTAATGTGAATCTGGATGAAGTTTACGACCTAAATGGAATCTATGTAAGATCCACCACACTATTTGTGAAAATGTCCTGATGAAATGCTTTAATAACTGCGACATAAAAGTGTAAAATAACCGCTATTATTCTATGTTCGACCTTTAACCGAACTTTCTTCATATTTTCTGAACGCTTACAGCTTTTGTGAATGTTGAATAAGGTAAAGAAAACTAACTCACTCGCACTGATCTCTCAAGAATGAAGCCTCTGGAAGCACCTTAGCAATAAGTTCATAGCATGGCAGACATATTCCGCGCATGAATCCTACCTGGAACCTATCTATTACCATTGCTAACAGTATCATTACTATTCATTATTATTATTATTATTATTATAATTTCTGCTACTGTTGCTATTCCGCTGGTTAAACCACGTTGAAAAATCACTGTTCGTTTAATATGAAAAAACCACGTGAGTTTCTCTTGCACACTGTTTAGAATTAAAGCAAATTGGATTTTGTTGAGCCTTCTGCGAAATAGAAGACAAAGATCTTAACCTTTTTATTTACTGCCTTTTCCTTTAAACGGCAGGGTATGTTGAGAAATACAACTCGTATATAATGCTGAGATATTTGCAAAACTCCGGACCGCAAGTGTATGCGGTGGGGAACGAACGCGCTCTACTGTCCTTACCGGGGAGTAGCGCACTTCACCACCACACCATCCGGCTTCTCCGTTTTGCCTGTCCCTCAACTAGTTCTATCGATCTTTTTCCATCATCACCCGTCAACGGAATTGATCTGGGGAGCCCAAGTCGTCATTGAGCCCATTTAAGCTGAGGCTTAGTTATAATCACGATCTCAACCCTTTTATTTACCGCCTTTTTCTTTTTAATGGCAGGATATGTGGTATGAGAGTCAGGCAAAGCGAAGGACCCGGATGGTGTGGTGGTGAAGTGCGCTACTCACCGGTAAGGACAGTAGCGCGCGTTCGTTCCCCACCGCATACACCTGCGCTCCGGAGTTTTGCAAATATCTCATCATTGTTGAAGTTATGTTTCGCAATATACTCTGCCATTAAAAATAGTAGGCAGTAAATAAAACGGTTAAGATGACGAACTTTTTATTTACTGCCTAATACAATTTTTAATGACAACAGGGTATAACGTGTGAGACAACCACAGTGACGGCGCAGGCACCTGCAGTCCGGAATTTTGCAAATATCCCATTATCATTCTGATTGTAGCAGAGCTCTTTAAAAAACTAAAATGATATGAAAATTGTAGTCGGAATCAACCTGCATTTGTGGCAGTTCATGTGCTTTGTTACGATCCATCATCGGGATTGGATCGCGGCCATTTAAGCGCTCAGCATCGCCCTGAATCAACTAGTACTCATGCCCTGAGAAGTACAATATTCATGTTTTTAGCTATGCACTATTCTTACTTTAAGCCTTGGGGTACTCATACGCTGATCCATACAGTATCATGTCCTGAGTTATACGGTATCGAAGCCCTAAGTCGTACAGTATCCACATGCTAAGTTATGAGCAGCCCATTTCCTTATTCCTTAGGTCATACTTTTATTCATGCCTTGAGTGATAAGGTATTGATATTCTATGTCATACGGTATCTGTGGCCCAACCCTTGCAGTACTTATGTGTTAAGCCATCTAGTACTCATTTATTCAGGGTGTTACTTACTTAGTTGATAGTTGAACGGCCCGTCATCACTAGTTGCGCGGGCCACAACATAATCACCGTTTTTCTGAGATTTGCTGGTTAAGCCAATGTGGTTCCCTGGAATCCCGAGGACAGCCTGGTCAAAGTCTGTCTCGGATAGTCACCACAACAGGCAGTCGCAGCCATTGTGGATCAGAGAGAAATTTGCCACCATGAGACTTTGATACCAGGACGGTGGTGGATCATGGTATTGATTTACTCTTAGCTAGGCTTCCCGATAGAAACACCGGTCGCCCTCTCAGCTTGGGAAACCCTGCCAGGCGATGAATCCCTCGCTGGACATTGCAGTCGGACACCCAGGAACACCTCCCACGCACGATGAGGCGGTAAACCGTTGGGAGGATTCAGTGGTATTATTATCATCAAATCAATTAATGAGTAATGACAGCGAAGCAAAACAGTATTTTGCAGATTTTGTCAGCAACTCTGTTTGTATGCAGAGCATATTTAGAAATAAAATTTTTTAATAGAAGAAAAACACTGTTTGAACGATGTTGATATCTCACTTGTTCATAGAACTCTTCAAATATGACTTTAACCGTCTCAGTCTGAATATACCATGGTTTTGCCGATGCTATCAAATCACATCCGGTCATCATAATCGCTTGTGTCAGTTTCCTTAAGAAATATGGAATAATGGAAGGTGGCAATGAGGTTGAAAAACGTCACAACAATGAGAAGCTTTTGCTATCCGAACTGCTCGTCTTAAAATCGATATTTCCAGAGGTATACAAATGTATTGGTATTCCTGTCATTCATTCTAACATTTCGTTTACTTTCTTCTTTTCTAGCCAAGAATAAACCTGACTTTCCACTAATTTCTTAAAATTCAATAAGAATGAACGGAATAACTTTTACCACACTCCATCTTATCAGAAAATTCTTGCATTATTTGAATAATCAGAAATCGGTTTCGTGCGAGTGGTGGTGACCATATTCTGATAACTATGCGATCTTTTGCTGAGCGCAGCTGCAGTAAGAAGTGTGCGCATCGATCGGTTTGTGGCAGAACTCCATCGAAATTCATGTTTGAGACTTTAAGCACGATATAGTTTCAATTCTCGTTTAGTCGTGTCATATTCACAGATTTAATACAAATTTTATTATTTACCGAAATGACAGAAGGTTATAAAAATCGCTTAAAACTTTTCGTATAGAATGTTCAGTTATTCTACCAGTTTCAGCTGTAATAGCTCGATATTTCCAACAGCTTACTGCTTTTATCTCACCGATGGGAAAATTTGAACGATTCTAATCTCACCGATGATGATTATTATTGATGTCGTAGATACCAGAATCGATAATTTTGTTCAATTCGGCCTTGTTGGTGAAAAATAACGCCAAATCGGTGGCAAGAATACAGTGTTTAATCAGTGATAACACCTGCTTGTATTCAGATGATGTCATCGACTTCAGAATGTTGTGGCCATCCTAGAAGAGAAACGCATTCAAGTACCGTAACAGGGTTACGGTGCTTCACTTGTGAATGTCACCTACTCGCTTGAATACTTATAACTCTCAGCAACATTTCAAATGTAGCCTTCGATCACACCTATATTAACTACTTTCGTGCCACATACCCTTCATAAACCAGATGATAGCGAGGAATAAGTTACCTATAGACCATTTCAGGGGGTTTTTTAAATAACTGAAAAGCACAGCCCCAATGTTGTTGGGCTGGCTGAGTGTAACTTGTTCACTCGTTACCGTATACAAGAGATCACCATCGTCATGGACGAAGTTCGAAAAGGAACAAATCGGATGAGAATGTAGTGAGTCCCAAACAAGTTGCGAAGACGGCCCATACGTGTTTAAGTAATTAGGAAGTATTCAAGGCTTTTTTATGACTGAGGAATCCATAAAAATCTAATTATAACGAATGCACTTATGTCATTTAGCAAAAGCTAATTTTCTTAGGTCACACTAGAATGGTAAGCCAACAAAAACAATGTAAGTGCAGTGATTGAGATATGAGTAGAACTCGGAACCAAAGGTGAGCTTTGAACTTTCAATTACCCTTCTAATCGCTCAAGTATTATCCACTGCACCATAGAGTCCCTTTCTTTGCATTCCAGGCAGTTTTTTACCCTGACGGTGCTACCAGAAACGTAAAAACAATGCAAAACTATGAAACATGACACGAGAAATCCGATATGACGTCAAACCTGCTGTAAAATGGTGACGGTTTGATTGAAATGATGATGTTCCATCACTGATGTCGTGTAAATACTCGCTAGAGGTGTCATCATTGTCTTCATGTATGCATTATTCTTCCCACGATGATCCAAGTCATGACACAGGCACGACACGTATAATGCAAGCGCCTGAAGCAGAATGTTCATCCTCGATTCAGAAGTGCTCAAATAACCTCAACCATGTACTCACTCAACGTTCTTAGACCTTCAGTTGGCATGAACATTTTGACGAAAGTTCAAGTTTAAAAGTTGAATTTTACATAATTCGTGGCAAATTCCTTAATTGAAGGGTGAATTTATTAATAATGGACTAACATCGTACCTCGTGAGTGGTGAAGATGTCCTTGGATGCTTGTGTCAGAACGACGAACATTGCATGAGCTACTGACCAACCGTGTGCCCAGTTATGATAGGCGACTCGACGATAGTTCTTTCGTACAGTCAGCACAAAACGAATCAGTTCATCACGATCATAGCGGCTGTAAATGTTAACAAAACACTGCTATACACGGCAATTTAGTTTCACACGACAACAAAGAGCAATGCTCAGTAAGTGGGTAGTACAGAAGCCTTAGTAATGTATTTTAAGATTGGCGACTTAAAACTGTAACACAGGATGTATGAATGTAATGGAGAGTAAGAAAAAACTACGATAGAAATTCGTTCATCGATCTTTAAAAACCTTTACAAAGTCGTTTTCAGATAAGGGTTGCTTACACCACCGTATAAGGTGCTTAATCGATGTTATCTTACCAGTTGGTGCTATGACTTCGCCACCTATTCATCAGGCCTCCTATGAATTATCTCGGGCATGAAATCCACCCGCATCGGCTAAGAAACCCATACAGGATTCATTTTTTAGTTATCTGTCGGTTCATTAAACGAATCCACTGTTTTTCGGTGTTTTTAAAGAAAACATTAACTCAGTCGGATAACCTACAATTTATCCTGGAATAGTTCTTTGAACATAGCGATCGCATAAAGAGGTTTTTCAAGTTCCGACATACGAAGATAATTGAAATCCACTCTGAAGATTGGAAGATCACGTCATTATTGCAGAACTTTATAAATACTAAAGTAAGATTTTAAAACGCTAAAAAATCGCACAACTGGAACTAAGAAGGGAAAGAAGGAAATAACACGGGTTTGCTGATAATCAGAGTAATCGCAGAAAGCTTTGAAATGTTTGTTCCTTAATACTGAGCATCGTGTACTATGGTTATAGCACAGGTGATACTTGAGAAATGAGGCAGGTATTTTTCATTTCGACAAAAAATGTTTTTCATCGTATTCACCCTCTTTAAAAAACCTTTCTGAGCTGTTTAACTAAAGTAATCTTAACAAAAAATCGAAAAAAGTCATTCTGCAGGTTTAATCGGTCAAATTGTTTACCGTTTTACTCCACCGAATGAATGACAAGCCTGCAACTAAACAGTTTTTTCAGGCTCAGTTGGCATTAATGAAATATGAACAACAATATTTTTGTAATGCCGGAGAAGAAACAAGTCTTACGTCTCCAGTTCCTCAATACGGTCCTTGATCTCCATTTTTTGTAGTTTCGCTACTTCATCCTTGTTGCAGACACTATGATAGGCCAAAACCTCGAGCGCCACACGATATTTCTGGAAAGAATGTAGTCCATATGTACACACGTACATATGTGAGTAGATACATGCATACATACATACATATATATATACATATATATATGTATGTATGGAGAACATGGGTGACCACGAATGTGGTACTACCTACCTGTTCAGACCGTCTGATTTTATCGTAGAGTTTTGCGTGATGCAGTGCTAAACCACAATAGACGGCGAACGTCTCAAAACTGTCTTCGTCGTCTTTCGTAAACACACCCTCACGCTTGTTCACCATTTGCACAACACCGATAACGCTGTAAAATCGCAAGAAAACTGGCATTCCAGGGCAAAATGATCGTGTTAACACGAGCGAAGTCCATTCTGTCATGTATCGTCGCCACAAAGAAATAGATTACGAAACACTGAGACGTCTATCAGGATAGCCAAGTCATAGATTGCAACAACGGGAATCCAGAAAGCCGTTGGAGGTTATTAGAATTACCTCGCTCGCACCTCTGAACGCCTTTTCTTTGTCATCTCACGAAATTCTGCCGTTAATTTCGCGGTTTTTTTCTTTTACATGTCGGGCTTCTCACCTTCCACGAATAAAAATCGGCATACAGAGTATCGTTTTTGTCGTGTAACCAGTTTTTGTATCTACTTCTGGATTAAAACGATGGTCTTTGTAAGCGTTCTCGATATTCAGGCCTTCACCAGTTGACGCCACATGTCCAGCAATGCCACGTTTCATACTGAATCTGAAATTTCAACCATTTGAGAAAACAGACTGATGCCTTTTGAATGCAGCCATTTTTCTCCAAAGGAGAAATAATAATCAAAATTTTCAAAATTTTCTTAAACCATTTGGATTGATGAAAAAATTAGATTGAGATGTGGACAGCGCAGTGGTAACGATCTCATTCATTAGTGGGCGTTTCAGCCTACTCATCCGTTGGTTTGACCACGTTCAGGGTCCAGCTAGCCTCTCATTCTTTCAGAGTCGGAAAAAAGCTTCCAGAGTTTTCCGAGACTCCTCATTTTTTTCTCTCAACTTAAGAACACTCTAGCACGGCCATCTCAGGATTCCAGGGACGTTTGTGTGGAAGCGACATTCGTGCCGAAAGCAAAAAATCTCCAGGCAGCATCCGAAGCCATACGCGAAAAGTTCGAAAGCCTTCATGGACGACGGGGGAAACGAATCGATTTCGAGAAGAGCTGAAAATCCACATAATGTCATTCATGCGATATCGGGTATGTAATAATAATAATAATAATAATAATAATAATAATAATAATAATAATAATAATAATCATAGTGTCGTTTTCTTGTTCAGCAATCGCGAAGTTTTTAAACAGCATACATTTACTTCCATAGAAAAACACAATACATACGAAAAACACAAAACACTACATAATAGTGATGGTAATAATAATAGTAATAATAATAAATATTAACAATAACAGTAATAATAAGCACCTTACTTGGATATTTGGATAGTGGGATGGACCGTTTTCATCGGTTCTGCGGGCCCCAGCATGACTTCCATTTTTTCGGAGTTTTCCTGGTTCAAAGTTCAATTCAGCCATCGTGGTTCCATGGAGTCTCGAGCAGCCTAGGCAAAGTTGATCCCAGGTCATCACCACCACATACAGCTGCAGTCCTTGTAGATCAGAGGGAGATTTGCCACCATGTGACTAGTTCGATACCAGAGCTGTGGTGGAACCTGGTATTGGTTTACCCTTAGTTTGGCTACCTCATGCAAGCGTCGGATTGCTTCACGTCTTGGGAGACATTGTCCGACGATAAATCTCCCAGTTGTACAACGCAACTAGACACCCAGGGATACCTCCTATCCACGATGGGACGGTAATTTGTTGGGAGGAATAACACTTTAACTATGTTAAAAACAGCATTGCTTTCTCTCTTCTCTTCCTCATTAACTTATTCGTTCGTAGAATTCGCCTCCTTTCGTTGCACTCGAGCTGTCGGTCAACCAGTCTTATGATTCACAGCCGTTACATAAAATGCTGCCGTACTGGAAGAAATCAAGTTGCAAGTCAGTTTTCTTCCGATCGACAACCGCGTGCGGATTGCCAACGGTGAAGATCTGAGAGCGCTATGATATGGTTATCTCGTGATTCCATGAGACGGTTATGCCAGTTATGCTATGCCAAATTGAAGTGTTTCGATGAGGAAGTGGATCCGCAGATTTTGAAGCAGCAGCAGAATCCACGTGCGAAACCTCTCATTCATTCATCATGGTTGACGGCGATAAAGCAACAAAATGAACTGAAGTAGTGCTGAAACGCGCGCTAGAATTGATGACGGATCGTCTATAAGTCAGAAAGTAATCTCTACTAGAGCGAGATTTATGCAATCGGAGGAGCTGTCCTTCTCGTCATCATTCATTAAACCTTACCGTATCTCTTTGTGTTCTTCCTTGTTGTTTCTTTCCGATTCCTCTCCTTCTCGACCAACGTCAAAGATTCGGGCATAGAGTTCTTGATTTTTGTTATCGACAAGGAAGAGTGACGCCCGATCGGCATCAACAAGCCTGGCAGCAAAATTCTGAAACAATTTTTCAATCAGATCAATTCAAAACACAGAAGTTTTCATCTCAACAGTTTTATTCAAAGTACATCAAAGAATCTATAGCTCACCATAACTTTAATAATAACAGTGTCCATAGAAACAATGTCATGAAAGATACTTTTAGCGACGTCCAACAAGAATGAATTCAGACGACGTTGTCGTGCAAACACTTCCGAACTGCTTCCAGTACGCTCAAGTTCAGCAGCCACCTTGAACAATATTCCCAGTTCAAGTGAAATTTCAGTACTTCTCACATACACATGTGTAAGTGGATTTTTATAAGTTTCAATTCATAAGAAATCTCGTTGTAAGAGAAATGTTCCACCAAAGTTTTTGTAGATCAATCGGAAACATCTTACTCCGATAATTTACAGAGCTGGATTTTCTTCTGAAGTGCCCTGGACATTGTTCATTTTCTTATATCACACACCTTACACTGCATAGATTTGCACATATACAAACATAGATGTGAACAAAAAGGGGAGATGGAATTGACCACTAAATTTCTCACTTTCGAATGATATTTAAGTTAACGAGACTAGAATGACTACAGTATTACAAAGTTTCGTTCCCAAGTACCTCTTTTTTCCTCGGAATTCGTGCTTCTCTTTGTCTTTTCGCCTTTCCCTATCCTGTGATCTCCCGCTCTTACTGATGTTTTTAGCTACTAATGGAAGGGCGTGTGTGGCACAGTGCTCGGAGCTTCCCTGCACCACACGCACACGCGTGGAGTCGATCCCCACACCCATGACCCACCAAGCCTTCCAACCCTCCAGAGTTAGCAAATTGGTACCAAACTTGTTTGGGAGGATAGAAGCACAGAGTCGATACATCGGTAGGCCACCGCGAGTCATTGTAAAGGCCAGATATGCATTCAATCACCTCCAACGATACTCAATGAAGTCGAATGCATGGCGCATCCCTTAGGAATTGATAACGTCGAGACCTTCATTTTTCTAATAGAATAAATCTGTGCTTCTTCTCTTCCTAATACTCTAATTTCACAAGATTTTTTCATAACATACACTGTGTTCATTCCCTATACAAAAAAGACTAATTTTTCTGCTATTTTAGCCGGCCAAAGTATGAGTACGGAAACAGTCAGTGCCTTTCTTTAGCGGTCTTCCGCTCAATACTAATGATTTCTTCAGCTGTTTATTATTTAAACAAGTAGAAAATTTTTTCTACAGCTCACATTCGCATAATGAAATAAACCACCAGCCCACGTGCAAATCACGTTAATGATCTGCTTGTCTCGCTCCGAAACGGGTGAGTTAAAATGGATTTCTCCTGAAAAGGCCGAAATTTATCAAGGAAAAAAAAACTTTTTGTGTAATATAATCCTAGTAGCAGTCGTTGTTTGACAGCACATAAGAGTTTAATTTTTTCTACTCTGAAGCTACTAACACGCTTCCAAAATCCTAGCCCCATCGCCTTCATGGATTGAGAAAGTTCTTCCATAGTTCTTCCATTGTTTCAGAAATTTTTAAAGGATGATCTAAACACTAAAACTTGAAACATTCAAAATTAAGTTTTTGGAAAAGCCATTTCGCTCCAAGATTTGTCTCTCGCTAGTGGTAATCTCAGTCTGTCTATTTAACCAATACGAATGACAATCAATGTTAACTTTTTGTTTGCCACCTAGTACAATTTTCTCGGGGGTGCATTCTATATAATACAACCATAACGATGCTGAGATATTTGCAAAATTCCGGATCGCATGTGTCTGCAGTGGGGAACGAACATCCTATTGCCTTTCCGCGGAGTAACGCAACACCACCACACCATACGGGTCCCTCAGTTCGCTATTCTCTCATCTAGTTTTTTATCTACCAGTGCCACTGTCGCAAATATATTTTTTCTTCAAAAAGCTAATTTGGAACTGGAAAAGCATAACGACATTATTACACTGCAAATTCGACACATAACAAGAAATTATGACATATTGTGACTGTAAGCGCCGCATTCCCTTCTCCACCAATTTCCATTATTGCTTTTTATTCATCTCCCCGTGAAAGTTTATTTTTTGCGTTTGTTTTACTTCCTAAAAATCACTCAGTGATGTCCTCTATCTGTTTGGCAGCTTTGTAGCCTGATTTATGTTGGGCCAACGAAAACCCTAAATATTTTAGGTTCATTCTCTTGCTGTCGGATTGTTGGCCAACAAAAACAAAAGAAAAAGAAAGGCTGTGAATTTGTGGAATCAGGAATCATAACAGTGTCATTGTAGAAAGAAAAAGTATTAGTTTCACTTTAATACCATTTTTAAGTTTCCATGTCTACTTTTCTACATTAAAAGTTTCAGAATTCATGTACCAATATTGGTTTCGTTGGCATCAATCAGCTTCAAAAGGTGCATCGGATTTCTTCGTGGTCGTTTCACCTAAAACTATTCTAGGTTAAGATAGACGAAGTTTCTTCCTACAAAGAGAAACAGAGACTGAAAAGTGTAATATAGAAATAAGCTTTGGAATCAAATTCGGTTTAGTAACACAGTGGTAGTGATGCCGATCACCACCGGGGCCGTGCTGGTTCGACCCCACCACAGGCTCTAGCCTCTGATCCAGAGGGCGTCAGGAAAACGGCACTAGTCACATCTGTGAAAAGCTCACTCTCTGCAACCTAACTGGGAACGCTCTAGCTGGGTTACCTCAGAACTCCAAGTGCAATCGGCTCAACCAGCATTCAACGACATTCACATGATGAAAGGAAAATCGACAAGCAGCAGCAGAACATAAGCGGAAAAGTCAAAGCACCGTCGTGGATGGTGGATATGATGCAAAGAATCGAATTTGTGAAGTGCTGGGATTCCTACAGTAGTTGTGAAAGACGGGAAGTTTTTAAAAAAAATCAATCGACCGACTTTAAGAAAAACGTGAAGCTTTTCTCTTTGTAAGAACATATGCTTTGAAGGCACTCTTTAATTCCTCGCTTTCTAAACTCTCCTATCCATCGTTTTTTAAAACCCGACTACCACTTCAGGATTCATTTGACTATAAGGTGATGTCTGTTTCCCACTATTTTATTGATCAGTGAAATGGTATAAGTGCGAACCATTACCGGTTTATCGACAGTGTGAAGTTAGAAACTCCAACCAAATAACAGCCAAGCAATCGGAATATCAAACATTTTCAAGGCTCGTTTTTTCTAAGTTGTTGTTGTACTGATCGACGATAGATAAAGCACGAATGACTTCGTGATTTTTGTTGAACGACGGATTGGTATCAAAATAGAGTTTTTGTATTATGTTTGAACTCGCAAAACATTAAGCTTCAAGCGTTTTTATACTTGCTCTTTTTCTCGAAAGTGTATCAAGAAAAGGGATGCGTGTGATGCACTTGTTAGATTCGCGTGAAATTGCACACGCGGCCTTTGGTTCGATCTCGCGCTTAGAGCTAACCAGTCCCTCTAAACCCGGAGCAGGAGAAGTAGTACCAAACTTGTCTGAGAAGACAAAAAAGACTGACTTGATACATTGGTACGTCCACGGAAGTCACTTTCTAAACCACATATACGTTCAAACAACCTCCATGATGACGCAAATGAAGTGAAATGACTTATGGCTTATTTAAAGAATTAATAAGTGCCGAACGCTTTAACCTTCAACATTTATACCAATAACATGGCTGGTAAGTTGTATTGCACAGATTCCAAAATGGATTTTTCGAAAATCCTAGTTTTGGTGTACCTTTCGACACTTGATCTTACGTGGTTCTCCAGCTTCCTTATGGACGAGGAACACGCCTTCCTCGCTTTGAACATAGAGCTCGCATAGGTCGTTGTTGGCGATCTGAGCGCAACACTGTGCCAATTCATACAGGATACGAACCTCAACGAAAATCGTTATTCTTATTAGAAACAAACTGCGTAAAAGTGCTGCAAACGTTTTGTTTTTCATAGACAGACACTCAGAATGCGGTATCCCCAGTGCATACATAGCATAACTAAAATAAGACCCAATCTATCCATGAATTTTAACATCCTCATTTTATAATATTCATATTGGTATATCAAACCACATAACAGTATTCTATTCTCAACATTTTTTGCGCAATCAATATAATTTAAATACGTGTTTTATCATTCTAAAACAAAAAGTGCTGTGAGAAGGACTCGTGTGACACAGTGGTCGGAGGCGCCCTGCAACACACACGCAGAATTGATCCCCACATAAGCAATTGGTCTCCGAACTTTCGCGTGTGGCTTCGGCTGCTGCTTGAGGATTTTTTGGTCTACTTTGTGAATATCGATGAATACTGGTCAGTCGATTCTACCTCGATTGCTGGGATGGGTGTGCTAGAGCGTTTCTACGTGGATTTCCAAGAGAAAGTTGGGCTCAGATAAGTCTGGCACCAATTCCCTATTCCTCAGGAACGATAAGAGGCTTGGTGAGAGTGGAATGGAGTCGAACCAAAACCGTGCTCGCGATGAACAAGCATCACCATCACTGCGCTCTCAATTACTGTCTTTTCTGTTCGTTTTGCATGAGCTAGGAAAATGACATCTTCCTTTTCCTTAGTTCCTACCTTTTACGAACTCTTTTTACTGCAATTTTCCGTGTTTTTCTTTAAATTTATTCGCTTTAGGACAAAATTACTTTATGCTCAATTCAGTTACGGTGGGAAATTGAATCGAATGCCTTTCTTCATGTACCTGTCCGCAACTCATTTTCTTTATAATACGCATATTTGGCGACAAAAAGTAATAATAACTATTACCAACAATCGCGTTGAGTTGAGCAGAAAATCTTCGGTTAAGATTTTTAAAAAATCTCTATATACAAAGATTAGTCGCATCTGATCGATTTGATCCACTCATAAAAAAACTCTAGTCGAGAAAAAAATAAATAATAACAACAAAAAGGAAGGGCGCGTGTGGCGCAGTGGTCGGAGGTGTCCTGCATGGGATCGATCCCCGCGCCCACGACCCGCCAAGCCTTCCAACTCTCGGGCTCGGCAAATTGGCACAAGACTTGTCTGGGAAGATAACAGCACTGGCTCGATACATCGGTAGGTCTCCACGAGTCATTGTAAAAGCCAGAATGCATTCAGTCACCTCCAAACGACGCCACATAAAGTCGAATGCATGGAGCATCCCTCAGGGATTGATCAACGCCAAGAGTTTTATCCTTAATCTTTGTAAGTGCTGTCAAAAAAAATACTGATAAATAAACCATTTCCCGCCTTAGATGTTAACTGCTCGAAATCGTAACGATTGATAGAGTAATTCGGAAAAAAGGTCGATTTCCTAGAAAGTAGGCTAAAAGAGGCACATATGAGACAATATTACCTAGTTTTCATTTCTAAGATCTTCTTTTCAGGACAAATATAGAAGAGCTCCAAGACATTGTAAATCTACTGTTTTCATCCATTTCTTAAAATTCTACTTTATCTTTCTTCTGTTAGTATATAAAAATAACAACAATAAACAAAAAATCCGCTTATTTATTTATTTAAAAAAATTTTTTTGCGGTTATTTTCGTCGCTGCTTATTAATCGGATGATCGACGACCCGATTCTATTGTGACTAAAAGGTCCAGCAAGTAGATGAGGTCGAGCACGAATACGGTAACTACCGTACCTGATCATTCCCGTGATCCAGGATAACGCGTCGTCTTGACTGCAAATCCTCAGACTAAACAAGAATTAATCGTATGACATAACAAATATTGTATAGTAGCAATCTGTTATCGAAACAAGTTTTATCACACAATCAAAGAGTCGAAATTTCATGTTTATTTCCATTCAGCCTTCTTTAAATCGTCTAAGACCCTATCAGAGATTAATCATTCGAGAAATTAATTAGCTAATGAACTAAAAAACGAGAACCAAGTATCGATTAAATTTTGTCGTATCGATTTTCTTTTGGCCATCTATTGTTCTCTACCGTATCATTATTTTGTTGTATTTGCATATTTACGTAATCTCTATTTGTTTATCTACCACACTTTCACTTGTAGAAAATCAATGTTTTCGCACGTTAAGCAATGAAGGAGGTCATATATTAGTCAAACAACTAAATTGAGAAAAAGCTTTATCGATAACACGATAACCAACTTTTACCGACTACGGCGAAAATAGCAAATTGTAACTAAAATGTCGACAGCTTTTATTTACTGACTCCTAATTTTTAACGCAAGGTATTATGTGGAATATGACCATAATGTTGCCGAGATATTTGCAAAACTCCGAAGCGCTGGTGTCTGCGGTGTGGTCAGAACTCGTTGTCCTCTCCGGGAGCTAACACATTCCCTGCCACACCTATAGGCGCTTTTAGAAATTATCCGTCACAATTGCTGGTAGCGCCTATAGGTCAATAACACGGCTGAGAAACAAGGGAAACGAAGGACTCACATGGTGTAATGGTGAACGCATTAGCTTCCGGAAAGGGTAATAGCGTGCTCGGTCCCCACCGCAAACACCATCGGTTCGGAGTTTTGCAAATATCTTAGAAGCACTATGGTTGTAAGACCTTCTAAGAGAATAAAAACACGAATTGTGAAAACAGTACTCACACCCCAGGAACCGTTAAAAATCTTCCGTGCATCTCTACGCAAATGATTCCAGTTATTTCGTCGATGTACCCATTTTTGAAATGTCTCCGATGTGACATTTGGTCCTGTGACGTAATTCTCAAGCACTGACGGATTATCTTGTAAATACTGCACAACTCGTCCTTCTGTCAATTCCATCACGATTTCCTCCTCAGAACTCTGAATAAAGACGTCCATGTACTTCTTTGAAACATTATAAAGGTGGGAGAGAAGGAACGAACAAGACATTGAGCATTGAAGCAGAGTTAACGCTGTTTATTTTCAGGTGAAGTGCTAATTAAGCATGATAATGTCACTTTTAGAGGAAAATCGACAGACGAAAATAACCGAGTTGTTCAGAAAAAGTAACGCCACTTTAAAACTTTTCCCATGTTAACGGAAACTTACTTGGATACTTGGATGGCCGGTTCTCACTAATTATTGGGGCCCTAGATAAAGTTCCCATTATTCGGAGTTTTGCTGGCTCAACCGATGTGATTCCCTGGAGTCTCGAGATCAACCTGGCCAAAGTCTGCTCCAGGTCGTCATCACCACAGGCAGTCGCCGTCCATGTGGATCAGAGGGAGCCATCATGAAAGTTTGATACCAGGACGGTGGTGGACCTTGATATTGGTTTACTCTTAGCTAGACTTCCTTATGGAAACGCCGGACTCTTTCTCATATTGTGAGACTCTGCTGGTAGAATAACCCTCCCAACCCCCGCTGTATATCGTAGCACGACTCCCTGGAACGCCTCACGGCCACAATGAGGCGGTAAACCGTTAGGAGGCTTAACGAAAACACTAGGAGAAAACATTTAAAGCGGCGAACCCTGAGTAATAAGTGAATAAGGAGTAACCCGTTCATTTTTCAGACTATGATTTTCTACATAATTAAGAGTAAAAATAGAGGAAGTATGATCGTGTAGAAACGATAGCTTATTGTTGCACAATTAAGTGTTCTGAACTAAGTTGTTAAATTAATTAGATGAAATACAACAAGTTGATAATATTACCAGTAATCAGGTGATACAGGTGGCAGGTGATCATCTTAATGAAGTCCTTCTCCGAAGTGTTTTTTCTCATTTCGAGTAAATCCGACTTTATTTGATGAAGTTACTTGGAAAAATTATCATCAAATGCAATCTATACGCATTGATTTTTGGAGATTATAAACATAGGAGGAGACCTCTGATGGAATACCAGGGTGAGACTGTTTCAAACAATAAGTTGCTTCGTTAGAAAATTCAGCTAGAAAGGCGTTAGGTGATCTCGTATGGGTGTAGATGAAACTTATACATTATGAACTTCAAAATTGACTTCAACTGAAGTCAAATGAGACGCAATAAATATAATAAATAATAAATTGAGATTGAAATAAATTATATTTCAGAAGAAATCAGGAAACGAAGCATTAGAAAGTACTTCCTTATCTTGTTCTTCAAGTTCGTTTATTTTTTAATGTTTATTTTTTATTTTCCATTATATTTATATTGATTTTTTTTGCTCCAAATTATTAAAATTATCAAGTTTTCATTACGAGGGCTGGAAAAATAGTGAAAAAGTGCAGCAAATGAGAAAATAGAGAAATGATGACGTCAAGGTGACGTCATGCAAACTAATCGATAACGACGATTTACCACGGAATGACGTGGAACGCTGACGTAACGTTGGTATGAGAACAACTGAGCCTGAAAAAACCACATCGCAGGAGTTTACCGAGAGCATTGGAAATAATAACTCGCTTAATGAATACAAGTGTAAGAAAGAGATTAAAAAATACGAGCATAAAGACGAAGTCTGTGTTTTTTCCTAAGATATACTTAGATTTTTCAGTAGAAGTTCGAGATCGACTGAATTACTGACTAGTGTCTTTCTGGTCAAATATGTACTAGAAGGCATGCAAATTCATTTGCTTCTTCTTCTTTACTTCTTCTTCTAAGAAGTCCAGTATTATCCGTCACGGTATGAATGAATCGAGGCTCCAGGAGTGCTCAGTTATGATAGGAAAAATTTGCAATGTTTGCAGTACTGTACTTCTATACAGCTTATACAAAAACACCTCCCGTCGGTTTAGCCCCTCATCGTGGCTGGGAGGTGTTCCTTGGTGTCGGTCTGGTACAGCGGGTGGATTCATCCCCCCGGCAGGGTCTCCGAAGCTGAGAAGGAGTCCGACGTTTCCGTCAGGAATCCTAGCTAAGAGTAAATCAATACCAGGATCCACCACCGTCCTGGTATCAAAATCTCATGGTGGCAAATTTCCCTCTGATCTACAAAGGATGCGAGTGCATGTAGTGGTGACGACCTGGAGCAGAGTTTGGCCACGCTGTCCACGGTATTCCAGAGAACCACAATGGCTTAAGCAGCGAATCTCCGAAAAGTAGTGATTATGCTGGAGCCCGCACA